ACTGCTACATCTGGGTCTAGAATGATTAGCTAGTACAAGCGAAAAACTGCTTGAAGTACGTCAGCTTTCATTTCTTTAATTACGTTATTGATTTTCATAATAACTGTCCTGTACCTTARATATGKTGCAAGTAGATTATGAATTTGTATTGATTAGTGGGTTCTAGTTCTGTGTAGGTCTTTATATCAAACATTAGGAAACGCTTTTTTTAATGTTTAATTAATTGTTATAATTTTCGAATCCTAAGTAATACATTTGGTATTACTACCTTCTGTTGAGATGGATTTGTGACTTTCTATTGAAAGTAATCCAAATATTTCTGTAAGGTCATTTTTTATCCTTGCGGTTCATATCCAACCGAAATTGGAAATTTATTGGTATCAAATTGTACTCTACAATTGCAGTTGCTTTAAGGTGTTCTTGGATAATTCGACTATGTACATGGTGTTCGATGTGCCTTTCSCCTTCCCTGATGAATGTCTTGTGTCCTATATATTGTAATATAGACTTTTAATATACTTGTAGTTTCTYGTAGTGAAGTATATTTTCAAAAGAAGAAGTATATTATAAGTATTGTTATTGTGTAAGAATGTTTTTGTTTTTATGACCCTTTGTAGCAATCTATTAACGTTTTAGAATGCTGTTTTAAGGGTAGCAATTGTAGTATAATTGTTGTTTGTTGTTTTAGTATTGCGTTTCGTTTGATTATTATTTTTGTTAGTGTTTTTTCTTCTTTATTTCTTCTAAGTAAGTTTTCTTCTTTATGTTCTTCATCGCGATGCGCTTCATATAGTCAAACTGTCGTTCCAGCGCTTTCGAGGTCCTCCAACGCTTCGTCTCCCCGATGGTGACTTATCTCGGGATATTTTGACTACTCAGTCATCAGCCATGCGAGTGATGTTGTCATTCCACTCAAATTTTTTGCTTAATATCCAGTCGTTGATATTATCGATCTGGCATGCGTTCCTAAAGGTCTTTGCTTTTTACTCTGTCACATAGTGATTTCCTAGCTATTCTGCGAACGATCTTTATTTCAGTTTCTTCCATGATTTTGCGTGTTTTAGATGTTTCAGGTTTTGTTTCTGCCGCATATGCTAGTATAGGTCTCATAGCGGTTTTGTATATACGCGCTTTTGCATCTATTCCTAGGTGTTTATTTCAGAGTATGGTGTCGTTTAATTGTGAGGCTGTTCTTGGTGCCTTGACGGCTTGTCCTCTTATTTCTGACTCTATGTCACCGAATCTCGAAATTTTTATACCTAAGTAGTTGAATTCCATCACTTGTTGTATAATTTTGTCGTCGAAAAGCAATTTAAATCTTAGGGTGCTTTAGATGTAGTCATGCACTTAGTCTTGGATGTTGATATCAACATCCCGAGTGTCTTAGCAACTGTGTTAAAMGTATATAGGAGCCTTTGCAGGTCATTTTAGAGCTTATTTAGTGCTTTTCAAATGTTTGATCATTTTTTGATATCTGGTCGACTATTACCACACTCGGTGCTGGTTGTAACATGGATGCACCTTCATATAGGTCCTTTAGGTAACTGGTTCACGTTTCCTTACTAAGTTTTTTTTTTTTTGAAGATATACTTTAATCCAAATTGCCAAGGAGTAAAGCATGATCGCTTCCCAAATGAGCTGAGTTGAGTACTCTGACATCTAAAATTTCGAAAGGTGGTATGCATCTGTTCGTCACGACGTAGTCAATAGTTGACTTTTGACCTCAAGTGATACGAAACGTATATTTGTGTTGGGTTTCATGGTTGAAGAAGGTGTTATTGATTTTAAATCTTGTCAGAGAACAGAGGTTGATTATAAGTTTCCCGTTATCATTAATTATGTGTTTGTTGAACCGTTGCATGACTCCGGATACTGGCTCATTACCRATGCGAGCATTAAAATCTCCGAAAATGACAATTGACTCCCTTAGTCGTATTGACTTCACGATACTCAAAAGTTCAACAAAAAAAAATTTCCTTCTTTTGTTTCGGCTTGTCTTTTGGCGCGTAGACCGATATAATATGCAAAGGTTATAGTTGGGTCATCAACTTTACCATCACTATACGTGGTGATATATATTTTTGCATTCTCCACTTGGTTGGTGTATTTCATAAGTRAAGCGATAGCCACACCTTCTTTTAACTCTTTYATTCTTGTCACCACTATATATTACCACGTATTCCCAGTACGCTTTTTGATCTTTGCCTTTTTTCTTTGTTTCCTGTAATGCAGCAACGTCTACTTTYAGATTTTTTAACTCTTCTGKTATTTCTTGCTCTTTACTGTTRAATTTTTTTGACATTYCAGGAAGCTATTCTCAGAATAATTTTCCGTATCTATCTCGCTGTCCTTTTTCGTGCCTGAGTCGTTTTCCGTGTATCAGTCCTAATCCGAGGCGACTCTGTGGGTCTGTGAACGTGTTATATGTTTTACGTCTGGCAGGGAGCTAACCTAACCTTACAACCCTCATCGTTTATCCGGGCTTAGGACCGGCAACATAACCACTGAGCTACTCAATCCACTCACTGATYATGCAGGCGGACTTTCAGTACTTAGTGTTCTAATATTTCTGTATTTTTAAATAATAGTTTGAGGAGTTTCTTGATTTATGTAGCACCAATTGTCTTCTTTTCGTTTAATAATGTTGAATTAGAAGTCGATTGTGAATAACATCTCAAATCAATAAATTTTATAATTTTCCATATAGTATCTGAAACAGAGTATGTGTAATCTTCTAAGTCAGTTACTTCTATTTTTTGTTGTGTATTTTTCTAAGTAAGAACTCCGCTTTGAAAAGGTGGCAAGAGTTTTCTTTAAAACTGCTTTTAAATCTCACAATCCTCACAAGCTTTGGAACTATTTGAATAATTTCCTTTGCAATTATAGCATCTTACTTATTCTTTCTTTTTCAAAATAGAGCATTTTGTCGCTGATTTTGTGCATATTTTACGCACGCAGGTATTTTATTACAATAATTCCTTGGTATGTCTGTATTGCTGGTATCTCGTGCACTGTGGAACTTTTCTTCATGTCGTGGTGGTKCTACGTTAATTATAGCGTCTAATATTTGGTTTATACAGAAAACATCTTTCTTATTGCTTCTACATTTGAATTCTTCCATAAGCAACGGCAATATCTCTTTCATATCATAGTAGGTATACAGCTTTGCTTCCCCAGTTTTTCTAAATTCAAACCATTATTATAAAAAATTGGTGATACATTTATGTTTCGAAGTATTGTCCATTATTTCTCACTAACTTGTCCTATTATTCCACCAGTAATCGGTTCCCGCGTTGAAAGAACTGGTCATCTTCTGCAAAGATCTACGAATTGATCCAATTTTGGACTTGTTTATAAAATCGGAAGTGCTCATACGCAAGGCCGTGTGCAATCGATCGAAAAAGGTATAATCAGAGAGAGAAACGTCCGGAAAATACAGCGGATAGGGTGAAAGTTCCTATTTCAAACGTTTTTAAGTACGTTTTGACAATTTTTGCAACATGAAGCCGAGTATTGTCATGTTACAAAATAACTTTATTGTGTCTTTCGAGGTATTGCGGCCGTTTTTCGTTCAATGTTCGGCTCAAACGCATTAATTGCCTYTGATTAAGATCCCYTGTGATTGTTTCAGACTGTTTTACTAAGCTATTATATACTACACCAAGCTGGCCCTACCAAATACAAAGCWTTACCTTATATCCGTGAATATTCGGTTTAGCCGTCAGCGCATAGGCGTGAACGGGATTAACCCAATAATTTTCAGTGCATGAGATTGTAACAAATCTATTTTTCGTCACTAGTTATAATGCGATGCTAAAATCCTTTCAGTTTTTTTCTTTTAAGCAGTTGTTTACAAATACAGAAACACCGTTCAACATCTCTCGGCTTCAACTCGTATGGCATTCAATATACTTTCTTCTAATCGGTAATAGATTATTTTAAAAGGGACATTTTAAATTTAAATAAAATTTCAAAAAAAAAAAAAAGAACTTTACGTTTGCTCCGGCATATTTTTTTCTTTTAAAACATCCGATAAGATTTTACCCTTTAACCATACTGCTTGTAAATAACGTGTTAACAACTTGACCTATAATGACGTATACCACACGTCATGATGCTTCTGTATCAAAACTGAAAGCTACGTATAATATACGTCCTACCAACACGCTGAGGCGCTGCTTGAGGAGTAACACTACTCTAAAATTTTCAAAAAATCGATTTTTTTAGCTTAAAGTGTACTTTAAATGTCTAAAAACAATATAGATTTTATTCTATAATATATTATTAGAGAAGTGTGAGGAATGGGACACTGTAGCGCTGGTTAAATCGTCGCGCAAGGCACCACCACCGTGAAGTTATATCATAGGTCAAGTGGTTAAATACTAGCCACAATGAAACATTTTATTTTGCAAYCAACTTAAATATTTTTAATAGCAATGTGTGCTTTAACTTTAGGCCTTYCTTCAGTTACAACAGCTTTTRCAATAGACTATATTTTTTTATTAGCTATATGCTTCGAAGTAGAATACTACTTTCTAAAAACAGTGAATTTTATATTATTTAAAATAAATACAAAGTATTTTTCTTATTAAAAACTTTTTATTTTCTCAAAAACAAATGTCTGCCTATAACTATCTGTTATACTATAATAATTACTAAACCCAAAAGTAAGGTTAATTGATTACTGAATTGTTTATTTATCCTAATGTTTTTAAAAATGTATACCTTTTTTTGGACAATTAAACGTAAGCAAAARTTTATATTTTTTTGAAACTAAAAATTAATATCTATGAGTGTTAGAAGTGAAACCTTCAAAAAACTAAGTTACGAGAGAATGAGACGAATGCACAGTTTCAAGAGTAAGATAATTGTAGGATTTATTTAATATAATATTACCATATATAAAAARGAGCACCTGCATTATCAGTGGGTGGAATAGGTGATAAAAACTACACTTTTCCAAATTCAAACAATAAAAATGGAATGCTGAATGYAATAGTCACAGATAGAATCAAAATCGTAAGATGTTTATCGAGGGAAATAGAATTGTTWTAAATACACTATCGATCTCTTAGTGAAAGAAAACTTCACTCAGAGCTTAACCCTTTCGCTCCGACGGGCGTATATATACGCCCTCGAAGAATGACCATTCATGTACGAAGAGCGTATATATATACGCTCTGGAAAAGTGGGCGCCTGGGTACGAAGAGCGTATATATACGTTCATACCATATATACTTTGATTTCATACTTTATATGAGATACTTTTGTTAATCGAGTATCTGGCAACGCTGCATGCCTTAAGCAATTGACTATCATAAATTGTATATACAGGAAAAACTACAGATTTTAACGGACAGTCCAATGACAATTTAGGAAAATCAGGAAGTGTCGTTATGACACTCTTAGAACCATATCTTGAACAAGGCCATACCGTATTTGTCGATAATTGGTATGCAAGTCCCGCTTTATTTACAAAATTACAACGTCAGAAAACAAATGCTTTCGGAACGGTAAAAAAAAACCGTAAAAATATGCCCATAATTTCCAATCACTTAAAAAGAGGCGAGATATAATTCCATTCGTGCAATAATTTATTAGCATTAAAATGGCATGACAAACGCGATGTTTGGATGATAACAACTTGCCATTCGGTAGACATCGTTGATAAAACTAAGATAGATTATCGTACCGGACTACCAAGACAAAAACCGACCTGCGTCATTGATTATAATGCCAATATGGGAGCCGTTGACAACATTGATATGGTTTCAAAATCGGTTGAATGTATTTGTAAAAGCTTAAAATGGTATAAAAAATACTTTTTTCACATGCTAGACATGATTRTGTGGGATGCATATAGTTTATTCCAATCAGCAACTGCGACAAAATTACCGTTTGCCAAATTTCATTCAACTCTTATAAGACAATTATTGCAAACATACGGGAAACAAACATTAGATATGAGATGTTCAGTTTCACGAAATAATAATAATCCTKAAAGACTTWCTGAAAGGCATTTCCYGTCTATATATTCGAATGAGGCGTCAAAAAAAAAATTAAGTTCGAAAATGTGTCGTCTGCAGTAAACGAGGAAAAAGACGTGAGTCGAAATACTATTGTTCACAATGTAATGTGGGGTTATGTGTGGTACCATGCTTTCAAATTTATCACACCAAAGTTGATAATTAATATTAGGTTTGGCTTTAAATACTTTAGTCATTTCGTTGTATTAAAAAATATCACATGAACATTAAAATAAAATATTTTAAAAAATAAATTTCGATTATACATTTTTATATTTTAGAAAGTAAGATGATATTACTGAATATAATAAATGTCATTGTAAAATTTAGAGAACAAGAAACGACTTCCAATTACTTCGTAGCACTTCGTACTTCAGTGTCAACTACTCAGTAATGCGGTCCGTTCACAGCGATCACATTTTGGCGCAAGCGCTCCGTAGCGAAAAGGTTAACACGTTGCGTATCAAGCGTTGTTACGTTTTGTTTCCTCCGGGCCCAAGTTTTTTCTCGGCGCACTAGAACGATAACGGAGAGATATGCAGGAAAACCAACAATTTAACTCTAGTAGATCCATGCATTGTCGATTATCTACACTTACAGTGCTATCGACCTATGTAATTGATACATTGTTTTGTTCTGAAATAATCTTATTGGTAAGTAGCTTATTTTGGATTTGGAAACGTTTATCGCTTTCCCTGGAAAGCATGCATCTTTCATGAATAAATTATTCAGTTTAGAAGCATACTTTTTCTGAAACGCACCTCAGTAATTTTTTATCCCAAAAATGTTTATTRGACGTCGTGAAAGTACAATTGAAAATGAGAGTAGTGATGAAAACGTTGTGAGTTTTAGAAGAAAAGTTAGAAATAGAATTTCGTCGAGTTCAAGCTCGGATACTGATGAATCATATGCAAGTGAAGATATTGAAGAATTACTAGAAGAACTAGCTTTAGACGAAGAAGAGAAATTGAAAACAGCTGATAATTCAGTGAAAAATATCCAATGGAACGAGTTCGATAGTAGGCAACAATCATTTCCGTTCACTGGAAAAAGTGGGCCTTTGTTGGATTTGCCGTCTTGAATTAGCCCTGGTGAAGTTCTTTCGCTATTCTTGAATGAAACAGTAATAAGTCTTTTAGTCACAGAAACTAATAGATATGCAGAGCAGAAATTATTTGAACATAAAAYGACTGGTCACGCTGGAYAAAATAAATRKAATCTCACCACTTCCGAAGAAATTAAAAAATTTATTRGATTAATGATTTGGATGGGTCTAGTACAAACACCGCTAAAGAAATGTTGGTCAACGGATCCTGTATACAATTTTTCATTGCCGCGCAGCACAATGTCCCGCAATCGATTKGAAGAACTGCTATCAAACTTGCATTTTGCTAACAATGAAACGATAGTACAAAATAACAGACTTGGAAAARTTTTACCACTTGTAGACATATTGATGGTTAATTATCAAAAGGTTTTTTCACCAGGCAAAGACATTATTGTCGACGAGACAAWGGTTCCGTGGAGGGGACGACTAGTATTTCGGCAGTATATTCAAAAAAAGTCACATAAGTACGGTGTAAAACTGTTCAAACTATGTTCCACCAAAGGATACACATGGTCTTCAAAAATATATTCTGGACGAGATACCGGCGGAAAAAGAAAAGTTGGCATAGCAGAGAGTGTCTGCACTGAACTTACAGACAAATTATTGAAAGAAGGGCGTACTTTGTTTGTTGATAATTTTTACACTAGTTATGAATTAGCACTTAAATTTTTAAATTCTAAGACGCATGTGGTTGGAACGATACAGCGCAATAAAAAAAAATATRCCAAGTTGTGTAATGTCGTATCCGTTGAAAAAAGGTGAAATGGTGGCACGAGAAGATCCAAATGGTATTGTAGTACTAAAATGGAGAGATGTTCGCGATGTCACAATCTTATCCACAAAACATCCTCCCATCATGACTCCAAGCTCGAATTCTACATGTCGCGGGCGTCCTACGAAAATGAAACCTTTGGCGATAAGTGAGTACAATATTGGTAAAAGTGGCATCGACAGAAGCGACCAGATGGTGTCATATGCAACAAACATACGAAAAACCATCAAGTGGTATCGCAAATTAGCAATATATTTACTTTTAGGTACAACGATAGTAAATGCACAATATAGTGTATCAGAGAGGTACACACAAAAAAAATACATATAAGAAAATTCCGTGAACTTTCAGTCACTGAATGGTTGTCCTTAATAGAWACTGTGCCCAACCCTAATAGACTCAAAAAAAGGAAACTGTCTCACCACTTGGAGATCCGCAGAAATCAGCAGGGGAAGCCTGTAAGAAAGATGTGCGTACTTTGTTACAAAAAGAAAAGAAAATGGTCGAACGCCAACAAGCAAAAAAAAACCTTAAAAAAACAACGTATTGTTTGAATTGCCTAAAATCGCCATAGATGTGCTTGGACTGTTTCAACGAATTTCATGCGACATAGTATAATGTTATAATATGTCATCCTATATAAAATTAATAAAAAGTAGAGTGTTATTTGTATATTTTTTATATTTCTACGCTGTATATTCTATATTTATATTTCAGAACTTGTTCCATTAAATTTGTTTTCAAAATGCAACTGAAAATCTTATTTAACTTCAACAAGAAAAGTGTCACCCATGTACGGGTGACGCGGTACGCARYGTGTTAAATAGCTGGTAAATCTAGTGTTAAGGARTTACGTAATAATAATATTAATTATTGCAGTTTAAAAGTAATCTATAGTACATAAGATTATAGTACTGAAATTATATAAAATTATATGAATGGTAATAAGCAATAACGTCTTAATTAACATTGTTGAAAAAAATTTGTTGACAGTGTATTTTKATCAACTAATTATGTCTAAGCCCGAATATTATATTGACTAAATTGCGAAAAAAAATGTTGATTAAGACGTTATTGCTTATTACGATTCATATATAATATGTTTTATTTTAAATTATCGAATGGATTTGTATATTAATCGTAGTGTTAAAATAGCTATAGCTTTCACATAAGAATTGTACATTCGTCCTATTATAAACAKTTTGAAAATTCATACATATTTTAATTCCTAACAGAGAAAGGGACCTGAAAGAAATAGGATACGAAGACCACGAATAGAAGGATCGCGCTCAGGGACGGGAACAATGGCGGGATTTGGTACGTGCGGCAATGAACTTTCGAGTCCCTAATGCCAGTTAATAATAATAATCATATTAGCAAGGAGRGATCACGCTTGCGCGAGATTCTCTCTCTCTCCATCCTGTCGTGTCTCCTTCGCAAGCTGAGAATCTTCACCTTTGTCGCTTTGCTCAGCGATCTATCTTCCATNATTGACTAAATTGCGAAAAAAAATGTTGATTAAGACGTTATTGCTTATTACGATTCATATATAATATGTTTTATTTTAAATTATCGAATGGATTTGTATATTAATCGTAGTGTTAAAATAGCTATAGCTTTCACATAAGAATTGTACATTCGTCCTATTATAAACATTTTGAAAATTCATACATATTTCATACATAATTCATACATATTGAGCTTTTGAGTCCCTAATGCCAGTTAATAATAATAATCATATTAGCAAGGAGRGATCACGCTTGCGCGAGATTCTCTCTCTCTCCATCCTGTCGTGTCTCCTTCGCAAGCTGAGAATCTTCACCTTTGTCGCTTTGCTCAGCGATCTATCTTCCATTTTTTCCATTTTTTTATTTTGATATTGATTTTGTTTTTGTTTCTCCATAAGTTATATTATTACTTCAGAGTGTCAGACCGTCTTCGAACGCAGTGTCTCAAGAAGTGGGGGGGGGTGATCACCTTCGCAACTACCCCTGTTGTTGCGAGAGCTTTTGGCTATAAGGGCGGGAATTAATCATCCGCCCTTTCCGTTCACCCACCTCCTTCATCGACATCCTGACACTCCCGTGGGTGCGACGCGTTGACGCCGGGAGTTTCCACGGGAACTGCGCTATACGAATCATCCAGCACATCCCTTTCGGGTAGCGTCAACGTACCCGCTAGTCCTCGTGACCCTGCCGTAAACCTGACTAGGAGCCCTTACAGGGTGGTGACATCCGGGTCAGATGAGCCCTGGTTTTTTTTTGGGAGGTTGTACTCTTCCTCCTCACGTATTTGAGATTTTTCCTTGTCTATCCCCAGACAAGTTCTGTAATAGTTTTTCAAACGTTTGATTTAAGCTRAGTCGTTAGATTTAAATTCAGTGTTTGTTTGTTATATTTACAGTTTCTTTCAGATAAACATTATTTAACTGTAAGCTTTGTTCTTCATCTATTTATGTATTTACTTGTGATATGTTCTCTGTGGAGRTTAACCATGTTTACCTTGTTTAATGTTTTTCACATTGACATAGTTTGAGGTATTTATAATCTCTTTGTGTAAATTTAACGGTTGGTCGTAACCTGTTACTTGGAAAATTCTATCCATCAGGTGTAGTTATTGAAATTAGGCATATAATATCTGATTTTTTCCATCTGCTTTTGGTTTCAAATATTTTGTAAAATATTTGTCGAAGACATTGTATTATGAGTTTTTCATTTAGTTAGAATCTTTAATACGTTATCTTTTCAAATAAAGACAAAGCGTTATTCACTTTGCAATTCTTTCCTCCTCCTCAACATTAATTTTGTATGGGGATGATGTTCAATTTTCACCTTTTTCACATTTCACATTTATCTTTACGCGCCTATACTCGTTTCTTTGGCAGCAAGTTACGTGATAATTCTCGAATACCTTTGACGAAGAGTGCGAAGTTATCGACTCGACGACAAAGGAGCATGCTTTCACTTCGGCGGTTGCGCGCGTACTCCAATATTATGTCGTTTTTAGTTGCTTTAATTTACATTTTGTTCGGAATTAGTTTATTACAATTTATACCAGAGCGGAGCTCATAATTTGATACAATATCGAACTTTCTATTCCTGACAARACTCAGATGAACAAAATGAATCGTCAGCAAAGGAGGATGCAGCAATATAACATGAAAAAGGCTGAAGAGGGCGGCGACTGGTACGACCAAGTCGAAGCCAAACAGAGGTAACAGAGGCCAGATTTTAAGATCAACCGTGGCTGACTGACCCTCCGAAGCGCGGGATGGAGGGGAAGACCTCTACCAAAGGCGACATTACCGGTGATTCAGGATCCCGCTGAGGTTAGGGCTACCAGGCCGGTTCCCAATTTGAGAAAGGCATAGACTGAAAAGCTTGTGGACGAGCCACTCTATGTGGACAGCGCGTACAATGGCACATTGCCTGGGAGACATATCTACTCTCACAACATGGACTTTTCCACCTTTCCATWACTGTGCAAACGTGTCTACGCGGATTTGGAGATCGAG